ACTCAGTTTTCCCTTTTGCAAAATGAAAATGTAGGATAGATAATTTGGAAGTCCCTACTGGTTTGAATTCACACAATGTGGCCCAAGGTAATGTGTGCAGTGTTGAACACATTAAATCCAGAACATAGAAATCTGAATTGAGCTATAGCATTTCATCTGAAAACTCTCATATCTCAAATTCCCACAATTTTTTAAAAAAATTTTTATTTTTTTTGAAATAAGGTCTTCCTGTAGCTCCAGCTGGCCAGGAACAGCTAACTATGTAAGCTAAGCTGGCCTCAATCTCACAGAGATCTGCCTCTATCTCCCAAGTGTTGTAATTAAAGGCATGTACCACCACGTCCAGCTCTGTATCTTACAATGTTTTATAGGCATTTCTGGGTATCTTTGGTGATAGTTTTAAAACAGATCCACAAATTTTTTAACAGCCCTCTCTGATAGGGAAGCTTCACTTCCCTACCCTGTGTTACTTCCAAGGTGAGGTCGTAAAGGCCTCACAGCCTCTCCTGGTCCTCACCTTTGGATTGCTTGGTCTCAGGGAAGCCCATTTCCATGCTGTATGAGGTCACTCAAGATGATCTGTGATGATGACTCTAAAGATTAAGAGCATCGGCTGCTCTTGCAGAGGACTACTGTCCCCAGCACCCACATGGTTGCTAGCAACTGTCCATAATTTCAATTCTATTCAATATTGGATCCAGGGGATCCAACATTCTCTTTTGACTTCTGTGGGCATTACACGACATGTGTGCACTTACATACATGCAGGCAAGACATTCATACACATAATAAATAAATAAATAAATAAATAAAAATTAAAAAAAAGATGTCATTGTATCCAGGCCCCTGTTAGCAGCTGTGTAAATGAGGAACTATGGAAGCGGATTTTCCAACCCCACTCAGACCTTTAGATGAGGACTGCAGCCCTTGATGACATTTGAATGCAGCCTCAGACAGACCCTGAGCCTTGGAGCACTCTGCTAAGCTACTCCCATGTTCCTGATTTCAAGACACTGTGTCAGGTGATGGATAGTTTTTATCTTAAGATGTTTAATTTTGGAGAAATTTGTTGTACAGCAACAGAAAACCAATACATTGCTGGGGTTTGCTGCTGGCAGTGATGGCAGTGAGAGTCACTGCTATCTGTCACCCTATATCACTGTAAATTGTCTATCTGTCTGAGGACTGATGATTTATGTCCTTGGTCTAGAAAAGATTTCAGAAATCATTATCTGGAGACCATTGACTTTTGTTCCCAGCTTAGCAGAGGTTCAGATTTAGGGCATAATTTTGTCCCTGGACCAGGAAATAACTGCCTGGGTTGAAGGTCAGAGGACCAACAACTTTGCATTAAAGGCTCTTGGCTGTGCTTCCCCAAGCTTATTCTCTATTCCAGTAATGGCTTTTCCCACTCCTGTCCTATCACATGGGCTCTTTTGACCCTAAGGGAGCTCTGTGATTTAGACCTACTCTGGGTAAACCTAGCAGGTGTCCTGACATACTGCATGAAGGACATGAGCCACAAAGAGAAGTCAAGGATGAAATCACTGCTTGTCTGGTCAACGAAATGGGGTTGGGCAGATCAGGAGCTCATCTGCAGACATACTGAGCTTGACATAGCTATTAGATATCCAAGTTGAGATTTTTGAGTAGCCAGGAGACAATTATTCCTTCCATACTGTTTTGAAGTGAGAAGGAATGGTACAGGCCACTCTATGAGAGAGTGGCATCAGGTGGCTGCAGGACAGATGATTTCTAGTGGCAAGAGGGAAGCGGGGCAATAAGCATGAGGCAGGGTCACGTGGAGGGAGCTGGGGTGTGTCTGTAAGTTATCTTTGGTTACATTTATTTTCTCAAGAGAGAAGAAACATGACCATCAGCTGAGAGTGAGGAAGAGAGAGAGAGATGTTGAAGGTTGGAAGAGAGGGAAAGGGTGTGCGTAAATCCCACTTTTCCTTCCTGTTCCTTGAACAGAACAGGACATAGGAGGCATCCAAACTGGCTTCAGCTGAGCTGGGTTTCTCAGACATTGCTCCTGTTACTGGCAGTGACTCGCAGAAACTGCCTTCATTATACCAGAAAGTTACAGCCCCCTCTTTGCTTCACTGAATGAGATGATACGTGTTGTGTGCCCAGCTAGTGCCTTGCACAGGTTCTAGAAGAGTGTCATTGCTGTTTCCCAGGCACTGTCACTGCTTATTCCATCAGACTGCACAGAGACCTTAAAATCAGAAAAAGTTTGGACAGGACAACTTTTCCATTTTTGTACTTCAATTAGATATAGATAGCAGAATAGACTTAAGACAGCCATTAAAGACTTTATTTCCCTCTCTTAAAAACGGACAGAAAGATGTTATGAGTTCAGATTTACTGTCCTAAGCATTTGGGCAGGGTTTTCTAATTTCAAATCCATAAATGCTAGAGTGGATAGTGACAGATGAAAGACAAGCTGGTCCAACATGCACTGGTTGGTGATGTGCAAGTTGCTCTGTTCCTCTGAGCCCTGGATGCTTCATCTGTCCAGTGGGAGTGGCCTGCAAGCCCTTCCTTGGGTAAGGTAACGTGTAAAGGCAACAGTTGCTAAGCAGCTGATGGGGAAGTGTTTTACAGACTAGCAGGCTCGCAAAGACCCAGGAGGATGGGAACAGCCTGTGTTTCCATGAGAACTCTGGGAGCCTGTGCAGCAGAGTTCCTCCAGGCCTTCAAGTGAGACTGCAGAGAGTGGATCCATGAACTGCTGTCAGAGGAGTGTTCCAGAAGGGGCCTGGGCAGCTTCATATACTTCTTTTGGTTCTGATCTTTGCAGTATTTCTTAATAAAATCGTGATATATCACCCATATTCTTGACTGGAGGTAAAACAGAAACAGGTCAGGTTGCCCAGTCCTGACATGGAGCAGATGGGTAAGAGCCGCGCTAGTCCCTCTCATTTGGAAGACTGGCAGGTAGTACCCAGAGTCATGGTCCCCAGGAGACAGATTCCCAGAGGTGAACTGAGGAGGGATGAAGAGACTGTGGTGCCATGCTCATGGAGGCCAGAAGGGGGCATCATATCCCTGGAACTGGAGTTACAATGGTTGTTAGCTGTCATGTGCATGTGTTGGGAACGGAACCTGGGTCATCTGGAATAGAAGTCAGTAATCCTAAATGCTATGCCATCTCTCTGGTTGAACATAAGTGTTTTTTAAATAGGACATAAGGGCTAGTAATCTGGAATTAGCTAGCTTACTTTCTCCAGAGTATTTAAATAAGAGTTCAGCTGGTCATGTGACCTTCAGTCCAATGTGTCTTTAACATTAGGGAACACCAGCATCACTAACATCACCTCCCTAGCTTGTTAAAACAGATTGCTCCAGTTGCCCCCAACGTTTCCAGGGTAGTGATTCTGGGTGGGGGCTTCAGACTGTGTTTGTGAGAAGCTCCCAGGTGAAGCTCAGGGTACTGGCCTGGGACCACACTCTGGGAGCCACTGACCAATTTTCTCCCTTTCCATTTACTTCTGTGCTTGCCAGACTGATTCTTCCAAAACACAAATCAGTCCAAACTGCTCCCGCTGCCTTGCACGTGTCATTGGCAGTAGGGCAGGAGGTCAGGCTCTAAAGTAGGTAAACCTGGAATCAAAGTCCTGCTTGCCCCCTACTTGAGGTTATGAAAGTTACTAATCATGCCTGAGTTTCATCTATAAAATGGAGATGAAGGTATCCAGGCCACAGGCATGATGGGAAGAGTGGCTTCAATAGGGTTTGCAAAGTGCTGGCCACATGGAAGGAGCTCTCCTGATGTGAGCCTTTCCTGTCTTACTCTGTTATGAAAACCAGACCTTCTCACCCTGTGATCTGCCTGGAGTTAATACAGTGGTTTCCACGCTGCAAAGGGACTGAGGTGTGGTTATGAATTAGTTTGCTCTGGTGACCACAACAAAGCATCAAAAACTGGGGTCTTAACAGAAATTACAATCCTGGAGGCTGGAAGTCTAAGATCAAGATACTGGCAGGGTTTGTTTCTTCTGAAGGCTCCCTCTTGGGCACAGTCAGAGGTGGCTGTCTTTTCTCCGTATATTTATCTGTGTGTGGTGGTTTCACTGAGAAGTGTGCCCTATAAGCTCAAGAACTTCAACACTTGATACTGTTTGGGGAAGGTCATGGAATCTTTAGGAGGTGTGGCCTGCTGGAGGAAGCATGTCACCTGGGTGGGCTTTGAGAGTCCATAGCCTCGCCCCACTTCCAGTCAGTTTCTCTCCTTCCTGTGTGTGCTTGAAGATGTGAGCTCTCAGCTTTCTACTCCAGCTGTCTCTGTTGCCATGCCTCCCTACCACAATGGACTCATCTTTTTGGAACCATGAGCCCAATAGATGCATCTTTCTGTAAGTTGCCTTCGTCATGGTGTTTTATCACAGCAACAGAAAAGTTAAATAATACACTGTGTTATTAGAAGGATGGTAATCATCCTGAATTGTACCATAATGATCTCAATTTACTATAGCCACCTCCTTAAAGGCTTATCTTAGAGTACGGTTGTGTTTGGAGATACTGGAAGTTAGCTCTTCAACCTATGTATGAATTTGGAAATTGGGGCATAATTCATCCCACAGCAGGTAGGCCCCCTCCAAAAAGGACTTGACAGTCCACCCTCCTGACATTCACTCCATTGTACAGTCCCTCCCATGTATCCCAGAGTTGGTCTGTGTGAACAGTAGGGCATGACAGAAGTGATAGTGATAGTACGCCATTTCTAATAGGAGGTTATACAAGGCTATGCTTCATGTTGACCTCCCCCTGGCTTTGCAGAGGGTCACTTCCTCTTGGGAAAGCCAGCTGCCACTGGGAGGCTTGTGTTGCCAGGAATGGGTGACTCTTGCCAAAAGCCATTGTGAAAGCAGCTCTTTCAGAGGCAGTCAACCCTTCAAAAAACTGTAGCCTCGTAAGTGACCCTGAGCTAGTCCCACCCAGCATAGCTCTGCCCAGCTCTGGATCACAGAAACTATGTGAGACAGTGAGTGCTTGCTTTAAAGCTAAATTTGGAATAATTTATTACTCAGCAATAGGTAACTAGCATGAAGGCTTGGAAAAGATGAAGACACACAGATCATAAGCAGCAGAAAGAGCTGGATGCCTGCGTCTCTGACACTCTGGTCCTTTCTAGCACACCCTGTGATCTGAGCCAAGACCAGCTTTGACGGATGAAAGCACTGAGGTACAGAGGACGGGAGAGAGGAAGGAAAAAAGGTCTTCCATAGGCAGGTGGGGAGAGGTTGGGAAAAAGTTATAGCCGGACCCACAAATCTAACAGACAGGTGGGAACCAGAAGGCCACCTGTGGTTCCCCCTGCTTGGGGCTACAGTCACTTGCACTGCTGCCGGTGATCAGAGGAGGAAGAGACCCTGGGCTGTAGGCATCCCCAGGAAGGCAGGGAAGTCAGTAATCACTCCACTTTGTCAGATCAATGGCCTGTTCCCACTAGCCTTTGGCTTCCTTCACAGCTCTGTAGTGCCCAGCGTCCCACAAGCCAGGAAGTGCACTGTAATGGTCCTTTATTCTTTGCCTAGTGTGTTTCAGGAACTGGGCTAGATGTATGAGTTCATTTCATACTTAGAGGATGTGTGAGATGTGAACACTCCTATCTTCATTTCACAGAAAAAAATACACTAGGTTCAAAGCGTCAAGATTTCATACATAAGGCTCTTGGGAAGCGGGTAAGGACTTGAATTCAGTTCTGTATCTTTCCACTTCTTCTGCTTCACCAGAGACACAGGGAATCCTCTCCAATCACATTAACAGACAAGGAAGCTGGTTGAAAAGAGACTTACTTATATGATTATTTTAAAGGTCTACCCCCTGCCTCACACTATGTGATAAACAGCAGGGGACCTATCCCAAGAGGTGGCCAGAGTAGACATCACACTGTATCATATTCACTGGTTTACTTATGCTTCCACACAAAGGGTTGTGAGAGTTGAGGCTTGAGCCTAACTGAGCTGTGCAATCAGGGAAGGCTTCTTGGAGGGGGGAATACCTGCACAGGTCCTTGACAGACAAGTTGAAGATTGACAGCAAACAGGAGTAGAAAGTATTCAAACTATATACAAAACCCAGGTTGCAGAGAGCTAGGTATTTGGGAAACCGTGCTCCTCCAAATGTGGTCCCAGAATGGACCAGCAGGAGGCTTCAGAATAGCAGAATCTCAGGCTTGGCCCTAGACCTGCAGAATCAGCATCAAAAGCAGGTGATTCGTGTATATATTGGTGGTCAAGAAATGCTGCTGGGGAAGGACAAGCGTATGTTAAAACCACGTAAGAGAAGAAAGTGACTTCTTCAGACACTTGAAAAGCTGTGGTAAGGTAATTATCTCATTTTCAGATGGTACAGCTAAGGCTAAGAGCTAAAAGAAACAAAAAACAAAAAACAAAAACCAACCAAACGAAAAACAAACAAAAAAACCCCGCTGGTCTAAAACTTGAATCCATTTCTCCTGACCTAAAGCAAGCTCTGTCTATTTCACTATGATATTTGCCACTTCCGAGGAATGATTTTAGGTCATGATATAGATCAATGATCAGAATGAGGTCACAGAACAAAAGGATCTGATGACAAGAAGGGAGGTACCAAGTTAGGCTGCCACCACAGGTTGTTGTCTGGAAGAGAAGACCCGAGCAGGGCTTGGACATCAGGTTGGAAGCTGGGTGTCTGTGGGATAGGAGGGGAGTTTGAAGTACAGTGGAAGCAGAATTGCCAGTTTCCTTACTTTGAGTTCTTAGATGTCTTCATGCCGTGACTGCTTTAGGCAGGATGAGCTCACTCAGCACAGCGCATAGAACAGCACACTTTGGGCATGGCAAGGGATTGAACTGGGATTCAAAGCCTTAGCTCACTGGGGTTTGATTTTGTGGCATATAATTTTTTAAAAATTTTAGGCACTTATCATTTGGAATCTTCTGCTAGTGTTCTGTTCCCCTTAAATGATCTGTTCTTGCTTATGCCTGGGCCTTTCCACGTGTAGTTCATTCAATCAGGAGGAAAAATGGGCAGAAGGGTTGACAGAGGAGCGTGCTGCTCTGGGGACATTCTCACTACGTCTTTAGGTGTAGGGCTGGTTCTGTTGCTGTGAAAAAATTCCTGAGAAAAAAACTTAAAAGGAGGAAAGATTTATTTTGGCTCATGGTTTCAGAGGTCCATGATCACTAGGCTCTGTTGTTTCTGGGCCCATGTGTGTTGAAGCAGAACATCATGGCCGTGGAGCATGTGGCAGAGTAAGGTGGTTCGTGCCATAACAGACAAGTGGCATGGAGACCAAAGAGCTAGGGACTAGTTGTATTCTTCAAAAGCATGCCCCCAATCACCTACCTCCTGTAACTAGTCCCCACCTCCTGTAACTAATCCCCACCCCCAATAGACCATTCAACTAGGAACTAATCAATGAATTCATATACTCAAGTTAGGGCCTATATGATCCAATCATTATCAACAGCACCATCAGTTGGGGACCAGGCCTTCCATACATAAAACTTTTGGGAGTATTGTGCTAGATAGCTTTAGTTGTCAACTTGACACACTTGGGTAGAGGGGCTCTCAACTGAGAATTTCCTTTATTGGACTGGCCTGTGGCCATGTCTGTGGAATATTTTCTTGATTGTTGAGTGATGTGGGAGGGCCCAGCCCACTGTGGATGGCGCCATCCCTGGGCGTGTGATCTTGTGTTGTATAAGGAAGCAGGCTCACAGGCCAAAGGAACAAGTCAGTAAGCAGCATTCCTCCGTGGTCTGTGCTCCAGGTTGTGGTCTGTGCCTTGGCTTCTGTTAATGATGGAATGTGCTGTAAGCCAAATAAACCCTTTCCTCCCCAACTTTGTTTTGGTCAGTGTTTTTATCACAGCAATAGGAACTGATTGGGACAGAAGTTAGTACCAACTTCTGTATTAGAATAAAATACTGTGACCAAGGGAACTTATAAAAGGCCCAGCATGGCCACACCTTCTAAGACCTCCCAAAATAGTGCCACCAACTGGGGACAAAATGTCCAAATACTTGGAGCCTTTGGGGGACATTCCCATTCCAACCACTACAAGTGTACTTCATATGCAGACTGTGACAAAAATCTAAAAGAATGTTGACAAGTACTGCTATTTCCTCCCCAGGTGACATTGGCAACTGGCTTAACTTCTCTTTGCCTCTTTTCTTCACTTATAAAGTATGGATGATAATAGCCACTCAGAATATTGGTTTGTAGATGAAAAGCTCTAAGACATGCAAACAAGGTCCCATGAGGCTGCTGGAGGATCAAGTAAGGAAGCATACAGAATGCTTTGTCCTGTGTCTTGCATCCAGTTAGTCTTTTGGAAGGTCTTTCTTGGCTCCACATCATTAATTCAGAATACCTATGGGTTTGTGTTATGTGTTTGAACATGGGTAAAATTCGTTTGGTTTGGGTTGGGTTGAAAAGTCAATATGCCTTTCTCTTTCTTGCAGGAATTCTGAGGATTGATTATTATAGGCTCTGCTTAGTTTGTCTGAGTTGGCATTTCTTAGTTCTTCCTAAGATACGAAGTTATTTTCTCTACATGCTGAACTCTATGAAGGCAGGAGCTGGACCCTAATGGTTCACAAATGAATTCTAGCCTCTTAGCACAGTGCCTAGCACAGGGAACGTTCTCAGTGTCACAGCTTACGTGTCTTCCTTTTGCTTACTTCTTTCTGTAGTTTGCATGTTGATTCTTCAAATGCTTATGTGTTAAGGCTTCATCCGTTGGGTGGTGCTGTTGGGAGGCGGTGGAACCTCTAAGAGGTAGGACCTACTGAGAGGTCCTTAGGTCATTGGGGGATGCCATCAAAGGGGGTGCAACAGCCACTTCCTCTTCTTTGCTCCCTGGCTTATGATGAAAACAGCTTTGGTTTGTCACATTCCCACCATCATGGTCTGGTATGTCCATGCAGATGTCCAAAGCAATAGGCTGTAGGAATGACTTTTACACTATGGACATAATCTGGATTAACGACTTTTTAATCTAACTTTCCAACCAAGTTAAAATGTAAACAAGATCACTGAGCCAGCTGCTTGTGATCTGGGAACCTGACCTTAATTCATCAGGACCCCATCTTGCCCTTCACCCAAGACAGGGAACAAATGTGGGTGTTCATGAATAACATATCAAAATACGGAAGCAATATGCTCATTAAAAACAATGAGAAGAATCGAGAAGTCTGTCTGAAACAGTGTGTGTGACATTCTAGGCCTAAGAATTAAAGGGCAAGAGTCTCTGATAAGTATTCTAGCTTTTACTTCCCCAATTCATTCTGGAGATACTGTTTCAGTAAAAGAATGAGTAAAACCTGGCTGGAGAGCACAGTTCTGTGAGACAGCTGAAAGAACGAATGCTTGGCAGTTCAGGTTTACTCTTGACATTAAACTAATGCTGAGTCAGGCTGTTTCTTTATTTAGGTATAACTGTAATGGTGGGTTAGAAAAGACACAATAAGGCTGGGTGTGGAGGCCCACACCTTCAATCCCAGTGCTCAGGAGGCAGAGGCAGACTGTGAGATTGAGGCCAGCCTGGTCTACATTGTGAGTTTCAGGCCAGCTATAGCTACAGGGAGACCCAGTCTCAACAAAACAAAACAAGGAGCTGGAGAGATGGCTCAGTGGTTAAGAGCACTGGCTGCTTTTCCAGAGGACCTGGGTTCAGTTTTCATCCACATGGCAGCTAACAACTGCCTGTAATTCCAGTTCCAGGAGACCTGATGCCCTTTTCTGGCCTTTGTGGGCATTGTACAGCACAGATGAGCTTATGTACATGCAGACAAAACACTCATACACAAAAAAATAAAATTAATACACCACCCCCCGCGCTAAACAAAGAAAAAGAAATGCTGCAATAGGCCACAATAGGCCATTCAGTGATGGGCTGAAATCTCCAAAACTATGAGTGAAAAATCCTTTTCTCTTTATAAGTTAATTATTTCGAGTGTTTTTTTATAATGATGAGAATCTGACTAGCACAACCCTCCTGGCATTATAGAGTAGATGGGGCACAGAACATGAAATGCAGCTGTTTTTCTTGATTTCACTGTATTAATTAATAATTATTAATGCTTATAATTCCCTATTCAAATCAAGTTTCTGTCTCCTTCCTGGACTCTGACTGATAGAAATAGCAATAGAGCACAGTGGGGTAATAGCGTGAACTCTAGAATCAGGATACCT